GAGAGAGAGAGAGAGAGAGAGAGAGAGAGAGAGAGAGAGAGAGAGAGTGGCCTCCCAGTGCTCCTCCACCACAACTTCGTCCTCCTCCCACTTCATCTCCCGCTCCTACTTCCGCTCCCACTCCTCCAGCTCCTCCTCCCGCTCCTTCTCCCGCTCCCTCTCCTGCTGCTGATCCTGCTCCTCCTGCTCCTCCTGCTTCTCCTCCTTCTCCCGCTGCTTCTTCTGCTCCTCCCCCGGTTCCTCCTCCCGCTCCTTCCCCTGCTACTCCTCCTGCTCCTCCAGCTTCTCCTCCTCCTCCTGTACCACCTCCCGCTCCTTCTCGCCCTATCGCCACCTCTCCCCTCCATGATCATCGACACAGTGTGCACGTACCCGGCACTCTTGCCTGCGACCGACGCCCCGTGCTCCTAAACAGACACGCATCCCCGTCACCTCGTGCCTTGGCGGTGCCGTGTCCAGCCCGACCAAGTGACGGGCGCCCGCTTCTCTGTTTCCTCCTTTTTCGCTGCCTCTCCGTACCTCACACCTGCCTCCCCTTTTTTTTCTCCGCCGCATCCCTTTCGTTTCTCGCTCGTGGGCCTGCCATTTTGGGCCGAACATTCGTTTTCCAAACACAGGGAGCGGTGTCTCGCGTGAGCGTTGCTCCTGGGCCTGCCGCTTTGGGCCCAACATTCATTTTCCGAACACGGGAAGCGATGTCGGCCGAACATTCGTTTTCCAAACACGGGGAGCGGTGTCTCACGTGAGCGTTGCTCCTGGGCCTGCCGTTTTGGGCCCAACGTTCATTTTCCCAACACGGGGAGCGGTGTCTCGCGTGGGACGCTCACGCGAGACCCACTATTTCTTTAGCATTAGAGAAATGAACTCCATGCCATAGATACTTGTGAATTTAAACCGCAAGTACACGGCCCCAGCCTTGCAGAAAGTTTTTTTGCCAAAAGCAAAACTTGGAGGGGCCGCGCGGCATGTAGCGCCATTGAAAAGAAAACCGGCGGCCTCCGAAGTGGTGCGGGTTGCATGCTGACAACTGTGGGCTGATGTGTGGTGTACTGGTGCTTCAAGGACTGTGTTCTCCACTAACATATGCTGTGCCTATCTTGTGTCCCAGACGGGATGTATCTTCTATTGATCTGTGTTGTCTTCACACTTGTGAATTTAAGGACTGAGTTCTCCACGACCATCTGCTGTGTCTATCTGCAATCGATGAACTGCTCGGTTGGGCTGGAAGGCATGCTCTCGCTCTATCGGGCTGCCAGGCGTACTTTGTTTCTCCATCTAGCACGACGTATTTTGTTTCTCCATCTAGCGCGACGTATTTTGTTTCTCCATCTAGCACCCCTATTGCTTTGAGGGTTTTTGCTTTACACCGCCAGTGCTTTATCCTTTCCCTCGAGCCTGGAAACACCCTGTGCACGAAAAAAGATGCAAAGTGATGCTCTTTGGCTGGCACTGCCAGCCATTTCGCTCCCGTAGGCCAACCCCTGACACACATGCAGCTGCGTTGGAGAAAAGTGGCTCGTAAACGTACTGGTGGTTTATTTGCTACATATTGCTATATGTGTACTTAGTTTAGTCCAGGCAGTTCCGTTGTCGTTCTTCCTTCTCTCCGTGAGGTGTAAATAAAGCATAGGATCCATTTATTGTGACCTTCAAATGGGCTGATGATGTTAAATACTCCATCGATGTTCACTGACTCAGAGTCCTTCCTGATCGCCGAATCCCCCATTTCCATTACTCTTGTTCCTTTCACAGCTTATTCCATTGCATAGGGATGCCTTCTGTTGTTTGCTCTAGGTTGTTGCCTATTTTATGACAACCTTTCAGCCTTTTCCTTAGCTGTGTTTATGATTTCCACATGGGTTTTGTATATCCCAGATGTGCTCAACTTGCCAGATTCCTTATTCTAACTAGTGCCCCCATTTGGACTCTCCTCTAGTGAGAACGACGTATGGTTTACCCTCCTTGTTGATGATCTATGGGTTACCTTAGTCTAAGAGGGTTTGCCTCACGAATCCAGTTTCTTGGACCTATCATTATTTGGGGGAGGAGTCTTCATTTTTTTCTGCAACTGAAAGATTATTTCTACCCAAAGGGTTCCGCATTTTTCCGTTCTCCCTCCCTCTTCCTCCTCCTGTCCGGATTGGCCACTGTTGGACATTGTTGGAAATTGGCCACTGGTAGGGCTTGCCCTGCTCCTCGGGTATAGCCAGTATAAGCCAGTCATTTTAGGAGGTGAGGTATAACTTAAAACACCAGTACTTGGTCCAGCTATCAGCTGCGGAAAAAAATAGAGTAGAAACGTTTCTAGTCAGATGAATCTGGGCGCTCCTGTAGTGGCCCTTACATTTCCTAAGACCGTGGCTTGTTAACGGGCATGACTTTGGGAAGTACTGGTGGTTTAAAGGGACTAGGTGGCGTATTATCCTGATTGCTAAATGTAACCATGGTAGGTCTTGTTGGAATGTTAGTTTGGATACTAGGCTAATAACCACAGTGGCCCAGGACCACTTGCCCAGCCGGGCCAAAAAACATTTAAAAAATAAAAAATAAAAAATGATTTTTTATTTTAAATTTGGTAACGGATTTCGATGTGACCCTGAGACAAAGGTGGTTCATGTGAGGAATGTGTCCTCACGGGGCCCTAGACAATATGCATATGTTCTGGACTGTGGCCCCCAGCAGGCCTCATGCCCGCCCTAAGTGAAGGTGGGCCTGAATATCCACTGGAGACCCTTATCTCAGCATTTTCCAATATGGGTCTCAGACAGTTGCTGCACAACAGTCGGTTGAAGTGCAACCTGGGCCTCACCCTGGGCTCTTCCAGAAGAAGCAGCTGCGTCAGGCAGTTGAGCCCAGGACGCAAGTGGTTGCACCCTGGGCACACGCAGTGTGAGGCCGACACATCAAGAAGTGAGAATGCGGCATCGTTGTCACATCTACCCCGCGGGCCAATGCAAACAGAGCAAACATTCGGAGCCTGGATAATCCTGGGTGTGCCCAACTGAAAACGGGCCAGGCCCTCAACCGTGGACATGTGCCTGGGCGCAGACACTGGGTCCCGACCAGAAGCTACTGGAAACTTCCACGGCAAGGCCCAGAGAGTCCAGCAGCAGCATGCGACTCCCATATAGGGAGCAGGCCAGCCAGAGGAGGGCATTCTGGCCTAGGCAGGGAATGCGGACACGCTGCTGCGATTCAGCGCAAGTGTCTGCATTGTGCTAGCGCTGGCTGGGGCACGGGCGGGCGCTGCAGGGCAGCGGGGTGTCAAGCGGCCATAGCTGGGCTGCAGGGTGCGGGCAGGTGGAGGCGACGGTGGTCTTCAGGAAGGAGGCGCAGGTGTGGTGGACAAGGGGTGATGAGGGGATGCAAGAGAACGTACCTGGTGTATGCGGGAGGTCGGCATTGGTGTTGATGTCATGTTGGTCTTCGTTGTCGAAGTGAGCCTGTTGCACGAATGTAGATAGGACGAGTAGAGTAGGCTGGGCGGTGTGCACCAGACAGTAGGAGCGACATTGAATACTGCGTTGGTGTGGCCTGAGGGTTTGGACATTGTCTCACAAGTTCTATGTATCACTCTTATTTGGATGGAATCTTGGTCCATTTGAGCTCTCTGCTTGTTACATGACTATCTGGACTTCTGCGTGATTTTGCAACTTTGTTTTCTGTTTATCGCTCATATTCCTTGCATTCAGTTTATTTTTCTGCATAACATGGTCTTTTTGCGGATTTTGTGGAACCATTTTTTTTTTTTGTTGTTGGGCCCTTTCCGAGTCTTGCACGGTCGGGCCGCCCGGGAAAACAAGGTGACCCGGGCTGCCTGGCTGGTAGCCTAGTAAAATTGGATATCCATTTATTTCGTAGAGTGGATTTGATGCTCTGGATCCAATATACCGAGGACCTCCTCTTTGCTTCGATCGGGTTACTATCTTCCATACAACCTTGTGAATAAACTGTCCTTTGTCTGGTCCAGGATTGCCTGTCCGCAGATCGTCGGAATTGGTCTGATGGGAACGAAGTTGAGGTGCGTACCACGTCATATCTCCGACTGAGTGGCTTCCCATATTAATTGAGGTGCTGCACCGTGCTGGTCCATTGCCAGTATTGCTTCTTTTTTTTTTTTTTTGCCCTTCCCATATTAATTGAGGTGCTGGTAGCCTGGTACATTGCCAGCATTGCCTTTTTTTTTTTTTTTTTTTTTTTTAATAATCCAGCCTCAGCCTACTAGAGGGGGTGGTACGAGCATCCTCCCCTAGCAGACCTGCCGCAGGATGCTCGAGTCTATTGGTGGGGAGCTGCACCTGCTGGAAACCGGGTCCAGCATCCCCAAAACAAGTCTTTTTATCAAAGCAGACAGCAGTACTGCTGATTCTGAATAACATCCCTTTAAACCACCAGTACTTGGCCCATACATCGGCAGCTGTCCCGTTAACACACCTCGCTACTGGATCGCCTTCCGGACCACAATGGGTGGCAGTGCCAGCCAAAAGGAAAAAACAAGGGCTTCGGGGCTACTGGATTGCCTTCCGGACCACAATGGGTGGTGGTGCCAACCAGAAGGAAAAAACAAAGTCGCTCTCGCGGTTCTGTAAAGCTTGACATGCAGAGCGTTTGGAGCCCTGGAAGAAAGTGGCCTGGAAGTACTGGTGGTTTAAATTAACCTTGATTTCTAGAAACCTAATTTGGGCAGAGAGATCTGCCCATTGCATACCTCGCGGAGTTGCCTCTAAGGGGGGGTATCTTATCAAATCCACTCTAGTAACTCTTGTTCCAATTCATCTTCATCTCTGAGGCCAGTGGGAAGACTGACTTTGCCCTTGCGAGTGCTGAGAGGATGTCTGTGGGTCAGATCAGTACTGTTAGGTCGTCCGCAAAGAGGAGAACTGTGGGAAATAGAGACTGCGACCACTTTCGTTTCTATGCCCGCAAAGCTTTCTACTGACGAGTCCTTTCCTAGGCAAGAGGCTACTAGGAAAATGACAGCTGCTAAAAGATCTCCTTACCTTACTGAATCCGTCATCTAAAATGAGTCAGATGTAAAGCTGTTAACTTGGACTTGCTTTGAGCATCAGGGTAAAGAGTTCTAAAGTTCTAAACCACTTTCAAAAAATTGGTTCCTGCTCCAATTTCTCGATGCATAGCTGTAGGAAATCCAAATTTACTTGATCGTGGGATGGCAGCGTTAATTTAATGAATGAAGCAGAGATGTATGAATTTCATGAACAAACCTGGCAAATTGTGCTGCCATTGGTCCAAGGGCATCTGACGGCGACTTCTGTGTTGGCGGTGATTCTCCTGATTCAACAACAAGCACTGCAAAAGAGTTGCCAAGCAGAAAATAAGTCACACATGGATGGACAGATCAATGTGTGTGTGTGTGTGTGTGTGTGTGTGTGTGTGTTGTTAAAGCGCACCAAATTCTCTCTCTCATTTCCTCCACAGATCATGACAAAACATCCATCCATAACAAAAAAGTAAAGATAGCCAATACAATAGAAAATGCAAGGTTGGCCACATTTGTGTGGTTCAGCGCCAAGTGCCCACACACTAGTCTGCAGCCGAACCGGCACACTTGCACATATACGTATATACATATATTTATTTAATCCATAGAGGGGTGGAGGGCAAGAAGCAACTTACCTAAGACAGAAGACTTCACCAGCAAGAAAGCGACCGACCCCATCCTCCATAGGTCCCCGTGTGTGTGTGTGTGTGTGTGTGTGTGTGTGTGTGTGTGTTATAAGCTTCCCCCACAACAACCCCTATTCCAACCAGATGAGTATGTTTGTGTGTGTGTGTGATATAATACAAATAATAAATATATATACGTTCTCTTCATTTCTTCCTAGCTGCTTGGCCAGTAGTAGGTATTTGGTTTACTGCTTGAGGAATTAGTACCATGGCTTTTAACCTTAATGGTTTCAATTTCAATCAATCTGTAGTTGATAGTCAAGGCCGTGTTATTAATACTTGGGCAGACATTATTAAC